GGGCCGGTTTCGGATTGTGACGTCTCGTTTTCTTACAAATTTTTGTATCCCTTAATCCTTATTTTAGGAACATCTGATGTGTGCTTAGTTAAGAACCTTTTTAAAGTTATTAATTATCAGTCTTTAACGAGTATTTCTTTAATTGTAGCTTTAAGAATGGAAACCCGTTTATATTGACAACAAGTTTAGATATTTCCACACTATTCTAATGAGTTACTACCCTGAGTGGCAGTGAACTGTGTATAAGGAAACTAATGTGTAACTTACTCCTGATTTTATTCTACCTATTTTTACTTAATGCTCTACATGAGGTTCGATCTCGCGCTTATTAGGTTTCCGGTCAGCAGTTCTACTAACTAAGCTACTTCGCTCCTCTGTGTACATACGTTGTTGCAGGTATATATGGGTAGTTTATAAGCCTGGCAATTTGAAGGGTTTTTGAGATGAGGGATTGGTCGTGTAGAACGCGGGTTCATTTATTCCCCATATATATATATANATTAAGGCAAACTTCCACACCACTATTGATGTATATATATATTTATATACGTACAGCCACTCTCGCGCAATCGGCTGATCGAGCTGTAATGCAATTTCTGGTGTTTGCCTCTAGAAAACGGGTAGCAAGTGATGGATTTAGCGCGAAAGCTGCGGTCCGCTCCGACACTGGAAACACAGCAACTTTTCCCGTCACATTAATCTCCCCGCTATGCGTCTGCATCAAGCGGCTCGCGTGGGACGTAGACGACGAACGCGGACGTGGAGTTTGCAGTTTTGCGAAAGGCCAGTTCTAGCAAAAGCTCTCTCGTCGCAGAATAAATAACTGTGGTCGCGTTTTAACTTTTGATTAATCCTCGTGATTTATCGTTTTTACATTCGGAACGTTCTATTCTTCGAAAATAGTGGTCGTTTGCAACTTACAACATATGCTGTAACCAGCAGTAGGGCGCTTAAGGGTAGGCTAGCCTTTGAGCTGCACTCTAGTGCAAAGCTGGCGTGTAGGTAGGAATCGTAGTAATAGACAGAGGATTATCTGTGGATCATTACCTAAATGATTTAAGGAAACGTCAGAAAAATTTGGACAAGGGCGCACAGACTCCGAATTGAACTGGCGTTCTTCCGAATGCTGAGTTGTATGACGTAGTAACGATTTAATCCTGGAGGTGGGGGGGGTAATAGAGTATTGGTAAATTATTGTAGATTTGTATTACTATTTTTACTTGAATAATTGATATTCTAGGGTGGGTCTGGAGGATTTTAGGGTGAGTCTGACATATTTGACCATATTCTTTGCTGCGCCAATATGTTCGATTTGATTTTAATACGAATTAAGATGATTTTATTGCTAATATTCTGCATAAACTTTATCGAGTTGTACCTAACGAAAAGTGATTTTTAATGTGTTCATCCAACTGAAGAATGAGCTTTCTTTTTTATGACAATTTTGATATAAGTATAATCTAAATGTGATCGAAAGCCTTTAAAGTTTGGAACGAATGGTAAAAAGCGATACCAGGCTCTTTTACATTTCTTTTTTCGTATGTACATTCTAATGTGTCCCGATAAATCATTCTATTCTGACAAACTAATCGATACATATACACGGAAAAACGTGATGACAGATTAGTACATTGATATGGAGAAAAACATAATAACACCGCTAACGTCTGAATTATTCAGTGAGATCAATTCCCTTCATAATACTTAGCACCTTAATCGAAAATCTATGTAACACAACAACAAAGAAAAAAATACAGACAGCAGGGGTGTCGTGTATATTTTCGACAATTAGTGGCGATGTGTCTATAAAATTCTTCCACGTAAAACACTAAATTAATGATATTATGTTCTTGCAGTCGTTGGTCCGCAAACAGTTATTATTGTCCATATTGAATCTATGCAAGTTACGTAAATAATTATACGTAAGTTTAAAAAGCGTTTAATTGTAGCTTGACGGTGCTGTAACAGCTAACCGCATGCGCACTAAACTTAGATGTGGGATATCCACAGAAATATACAAAATAGAGCGTCAGTGTAATGGCGAGAATGATAGAGAACTTCGTTTAGTTTCTCTAGAGATGTGACCTTCAATTTGACCGGCGCAAAGTAAAAAAGAACAGCACTAGGCCAGAAAAGGAAGGAGACAATTCTCGGCCAAACTCTTAACCGGTGAGGAACGTATAATCCGTATAGTACTGCGCGGAAAAATTGACCATTCTATCAACTAAAATTGCATTGCTCAAATGTGTTGTTATTGGTACCAATTACTACTGAAAATATCAACGAGATGTTTATTTATATTTGAAGACATATTAAAAGCTTTAACGCTTGTTTTCGACTAGCACTACTATTCATGATTGAACAAAACTTTTGGCAGGTACTGTATGAAAAAGTATGTTTAATGAACAAAAGTCGAGAGTGTAATGAGCTTTTTTCTCCCTACCTACGATTTTGCCAGCTCGCATCCAAGACATTGGAAGGGGAACAACGCTAGAGAAAGTAAATGAAGTATAACTGGTCCCTTGCTGTTGTCCCTCTACATTCAGACGAGCAGGCGCATTGTTCATGTTATTAGAAAAGGTGCTAACCAGGTACGCAGCGTTCTTTCTCATTTTTTGCGATGCATGTCTTAAATCGATTGACCAAATGAGGGAAAAATAATTTTTTGTTTGGATTGTAGGTAGGTATGTAGAGAAAGATGATCGTTGAAGGAGCTTCTTGTGTACCGATTTGGGGGACGGTACGTTAGAGGAGGTATTTTTGTCAAGGATGACGTAATGTGTAGTAGTTTAGGAAACGGTCAATTGCTCTCCTGGTCCCTTTTACGGGAACAAAGAGAGCTGCTTTTATAAGGACAAGTCATTATTCGTGTACTCCGTGAGCAGACCAAGCAAGGAGAGCCGGGGTGTCGGTCCCCTTGCTGAAGCAAGCAACTTTTAGGGAAAAGTTATCAGACTGTTAAAATGCTGACGGAGCAGTCGTAAACTTTCTTAAACGGCCAAGTTCCTTGTTTGTTAGCGCTAATGTCCGAAACTTCATTGCGAAGATTGACGCGGAAATAAACGAAAAAAATAGACACAAGTACATAGGTCCCTGTAACACTGTCTTTTTTCGCTTTTCTTTTTTATAATAAACTGAACACTTTGTCAGATACAATACACTGAAAGACGATACTTTTATGGGTATAATTATAAGCAAAATTTGAGTTATCGAGGTGAGGATTTACAAATAAAACCTCTTATAAAGACTTTCAATCTGTTTAGAATTAATGTGACCAAAAGGTTAAAACAAAATGTCATTCAACGACAACAGTAGGTACAGGGTGTAACAAAAATAAGTGCCGAACTTTGGAGGGTGCAAATTTTAGATGCAATAAACAATCGCATGGTCAGCTTAACAGCCTGGTTAATGCGAAGCCGGTCCTGTGCGGGAATTGGAAACAGGTGTCTAACGAATAGCGTAGTACGATAAAAACTCTGTAGCTGCATGGATAGATACTGTGAATATTACCCATAATTGAACGTCCAAGATAAACGTAAACAATTTGGTATTACACATTATGCTTAGACTAAATAAAGTAAATAAGTACATCACAGGCAGCACTATGTAAATGTACGAACACGAAAGAAAGAAAAAATGTAAGTTACGTTAAATTACTTTAGTTGGTAAATAAGAGTCATCTGGATAATGGTAATTTTATTAAGGCAAACTTCCACACCACTATTGATGTATTGTCAAGGCGTGTTACCTTATTTTGCGGGTGGTTGTAAGTAAATTTACAAAAAAAGTCAAATGTCTCCAAAATTCTCTCATCACATATTTGACTGATTTACACTAATAACTGATGCTGCGTTGCTGAATTAGTTTACTGAACTGCGTATTGACTGCTTCATACAAGGTTTAAAGGTTAAAAGAATAAGCGCCTATTAGAGGCCTATTGGTTGTTAACAAAAACACCCTGAATCACATTTAATCTAATCTAACAAATAAACAATACGTGAGCAAAAAAAAATCGGTTGTCTGTAAAGTCGGTTTACTGACGATAGTTGAACGTGACAACGTCATAAGAAAATACTGATTAAATGGTTTCATTTTTCAAAAGAAAATTTTAATTTTATTTGTTTGATAGATATTTTGTATGGATATAGAGATGGAGGTAAATGTAAATGTATTATTGTATAGCAGCTGTCCACGCGGACGCATCGCTCACTCAAGTACGAGAGAGACAGATGTCGAACGCTGTCGAACGCGGAGGCCGATTGTGCCTCTTTGTCGCTCGTTCCGCGCTCTCGCTTGCACTTCAAGCCTTAAATGGAACGCCTCAGAACGAGGTAACGCCACATGAGTCATGTTTTTTCGTGCGTGCAGCCGGTATCGAATTATAAGACGTTGTCACGTCAAAAATACTAAACAAATACATACTACACTGATGCTAGTAACCACCAGCTGATTGAGTGCAGCGTTGCGGGCCGTATTTCTCTATCAGGGCCGGAATTGAATGTACCCGTACTTTCAACTTCGTTTTTCTCGAAAACTGTGAACTTCCGGACGTACAAACATTTACTTAATTTTCATGTTTTATAGTACTCTATCATCTCCTTGAAACTCGACACTTATTTTTGTTACACTCTGAATACTTGAGGGATTTTCACCCACGACGTCATCAGGATGACGCACGATTTTTGATTATCTTATACATAATATTTTGATTATTCTGCTTACTAATTTTGAACATCGCGAGTATTTACGTAAAAAGCAGGTAGACTTATCTCAGAATTTCGCGAATGGTTTTCGTGAGGCGATTTCGTTGAAAGTATTCTTTGGTTTAGTGGGACGGACGATGTTAAACGCCCTGCGTTTTATCTGATTTTTGTTAAAAGAAGCGAGCAGACGGTTGCATGTATTAACACAGAAAGCTGGGGATCGCAAGATTATCAAAGTCACGCGATCGCCTTAGGAATTAGCTGCGGTTAATTAGTAAAATTTCGAGCGTGACTTACATCGCACCCTCAGGATAACGGGTTTGCTCCTGCTCTCTCCCCGATTGTTGGCAGCGAGACAGGTGTAAGCGCCGCCCTGCCATCTAGTAACACGTTGCAACACCAAACTGTGAGCGCTGATAATCACACCCGACGACATGTTCTGGACCACAACGTTCTCCTGAAAATAAAATTGACAACATATTATTAATTATTCTCTATAGGTAATTATATTTAATTATTTTGGAAGTAGATTTTGCCTTGGCTTTCTATGTCCAATGAGTGATGAGTGTAATGATTTTAGATGATTCATTAATGCAGTTTAAACTGGCTAAAGGGGAGCTGAAAGTCTTGAACGTTTTCAGGTTAATGTAGGAAACAAATAAGAGACCGAAATTTGGAATATATCAACATACGAAATTCTAGGAAATGAGATGAGAAATCTTGTTAAGTTGCGATAAGCTTCTGTTATAAAAATGCGCAACCAGATGCATAAGCAGATGTGAAAATGTATGCGGAACTTCCGCAACGGTTGCAAAACATACGTGTACACACACTTTTAATGAAATTTTTGTACTTATGAAATAGTTGGACTCGCGTATGTGCGGATCGTGAACCTCTACTTGCTATTAATTATTATTGTTCGATTAAAAAAAGAAATGCTTTTCACCCCAACCATCAACCGCAGGCCGGAAGTGTATCATGGGGATGGTGGTAATGCAGGACCTTATCTACCGCTCGTAAATTTTCTCGGTCCGTTGAAAATGTGTTCATGGTCACGACCGAAGTTTCCGACCGATCTTTAAAAACAGACGCGGACGCTCCTATCTGATGGTGAAGATGCCAAAAGGTTTCAACAGAATTAGGAGCGTATCAACTCTTTTGTTTTTTATCTACTGAGTTTGTGTTTTTTACGTAGCTTCGTTTTGTACCCAATAAAATACAGAATAAAAGTCAGATATCAACGTAGCACAGATTGAATTTAATTATTTACTTTGCTGGTATTAACCAAAGAGCGAAAAAGGGATAACAATCGCTTTTACCGGTAGAGATTTTTAGTTGAAATTTTACTTTTTATGAAGATCCATTAACATTCTCCATTAATACTATTTATTGTACTACAGACTTTTGTTTATAAAAAAAAATACAACGTGTAATTATACAACACGCTACTGAAGTGAAACTTCTTCAAACACACAAACAGGATAGGGGGTTAAGAAATGCTGATAGTAAATATACTATAGAATGTCTTTATATACAACAATCACAGCTTTTTTGTCATTAGACAATACAAACCGGCCGGTACCGCCGCAACCGCTATGTCCCTGTATTTTAAGTCTGTAATATCTTCGAAAATATTCAATTAAATTACAGGCTGTAAAGGGCCATATTGATCTATATTAAATGCACAATGTATTTAAAAGTATTTAATTGGATAAGGATTAATGCTATATTGCTTAAAATCGCTTCGTAATAAGCCATTATTTCTCGTAAAAAGTAAAAGATAGAAAATGGTTATTGCGGGTTATCCCTAAGAGATAGACATATACCATCTCGGACTTTTTTGTAGACCGTTTTAAGGTGTATAATACTGTAGTACATTATTTTGATCTATCTCGTAGGGTTCAGCCAGCGTTTGCAATGTAAACGCAAAAAATGTGTTTCTTTACGACATCACATTACAAACCTTTAAAATTATCAGTGTTTCTGTACTGTAATATGCATGTATTATACATATAAACCTTTCTCTTGAATTACTCTATCTATTAAAAAAAACGCATTAAAATCCGTTGCGTAGTTTTAAAGATCTAAGCATACATAGGGAAAGACAGCGGGGGAAATGCGTTGCATGATTCCGTTACATGGCAACTCGCATGAAACGAACTTACTCTACCGTGCGTCAAAAAACCGTTTTTAGTAATTAAACTTAAACTAGTAAATACATCTTAATTCTAGTTGAACGACTCTAGGGCGTATTTCCAGAATGCAGGAGTTTTGAGATGAGGATTGTAGGTAGATATATTTATCAGGGAGAAAGGTTCGGTGTCCTTAGCCCACAAGTCCTTTTTTTTTCATGTCCCATTATTTTCTTTCGCGATTCACGATTCGTTGGAGAAAGAAGTTGAAGAAAAAGAGGGGTGGGTAGTTGGTGCAACATCTCATACGACAAAAGAGCGACGCGGACGCGGACGCCGACGCCGACTTGGCAACGTCCTCCAGCACATCGCGGCAGCCGCTTACATACGTGTCCCTCAATAGGGGATCTCACACCATATTTCATTGTCTTCAGACGTAATTAATGGCCCTGCCTAAAGGTACAGAGAGACAAATTCTCCGGCATACGGTCGAGAGTGTCGCCTCGGGGCTCTAGCACCTGCACGAGATCGATCGTTACCTGAACCGATGCGATGGCAGTTGTACGTATGGAGAGCAAACTTGGCCAAGAAATGTGTAGGTAGTAGCTCTTGGAAACAAAGTAGGTAATGCTTTTCCTTATTCGTCTAAATCACACGGTCGTTAGTTAACTTGTAGACGTGAGTAAAATAGAACCAACACATCACATCCTAGCGCAGAAAATGTTTGAACTTTGTCTGATACACAGACAGATACCTACATGAACCTAAAAGAAGTCAAATAATTCATTGATTGTCGATCATATGATGATCATATCTCATATTAAACGAAACCAAATCGATTGAAAAAGAATGCGTTCTTTGATGTGCAGTATAAAGCGCTCACGCACATAAAGTTGATTTATGACCGCCTGCGAAAACGTTAGATCAAAGAAGTGATCGTAATAAATTGAATACAGTAAAAGTTCCTTATTCGCGTTTTCATTATTAGCGGGTGGAAAAATTGCAACCCAGTTCCTGTATTCGCTGTTAAAAATTTCATTATTCGCGGTTGCAATCGGAAAATAGAAAAGGATTCGGTGTCATTTATTAAGGGAGTTGACCGCAATAGACCGCTCGTGCCTAGTGTGAATTTTTCCGAAACGCTGCGAGATAAATATCAAACTTTTTGTATGGTAACAGACAAAGGTTCACACTAACTCGGTACGTTTTCCGTTTTCAATAATATGGTCATTAAAAGCTTTTACAAGTGCTTCATTTTATACTTCTTGTAGGACACGTATTTTCAATAGAAATTAAAAAATTAAAAAATGGCCTTCAAGAAGCTTTAGAAAAAAGCTTTATCTATATTACTTCAAAATTTCAAACCTCTGTTCCAAATATTAAACTCATGATATCTAGAACGGATAAGAACGTTTTTACTGTACGGCGCGTGTATTACTGAATCTCCTTAATGTATCGGCATCTTTTGAGTATGTACCTTGGCACATACGGCTTTTATAAAAAATCTAACCGAGTAGAAAAGGATTAGGTGTTATTTTTCAACGTATCAGCATCTTTGGAGTATTATTGGCTCGTACCGAGGCACCTTTTATAAAAATGTAATCGAGTGGAGTCATTTCAAAATTCAAAACAAGAAAGAATCACTAAATTTTTTAAACTCTTGCCTAAAGCTGATTATAACGATTAATTTTAATTGCGAATTTATCAATACATTGATTTTATTTTGATACATACTTATTGGTTTTATTTGGGAAACTTAGAACGTATCCCCTATGATTCCATACTAATTACCATTCCATATTCACGGTTTCTGTATTCGCGGAATATTTATGGAACGTATACCCCGCGAATAAAGACCTTTTACTGTACCTTTACATTCTATTAGATTTTGAAATCACCAGTTTCTTCTATCTACCGCCTTATGTAACATTTAACTTGAATGATAGACATGTAAATAGGTAATTTCAGGACAGGGTGTAACTGAAATAAGTGCCGAGCTTGCAGGAGGTGATAGAACACTATAAAACACGAAAATTAAATAAATGTTTGTATGTCCGAATGTTCACCGTTTTCAAGAAAAGGGTAGTTGAAAGTACAAGTACATTCAATTCCGGCCCTGGTTCACAAATGCGTCTCGCAACGCTGCATTCAATCAGCTGGTAATTACCAGAATCAGTGCAGCATTTGTATTGTAATTCTTGCCCATGTATGTTTTATTTGTTAGATTTGATTTAGTATAATTCAAGGTGTTTACGTTAACAGCCAACCTCTAGTAGCCGTTTATTCTTTTAACGTTTAAACTTTGTACAGTTTAATAAACTAATTTAGCAATACAACATCAATTATTAGTGTAGATCAGAACAGTTGTCGTTACAATAATGTAAAATGATACGTATTTAGGGGTTTGAACCATCATATCGCTGCTGTAGGGACGAAATAAGACAATCACCAAAAATAGTACGCGCAAAATAGCAGAGAGCGTTGGCTTCTCTCAGTGTAGCAATTTTTAAAGGAACAGTTGCTGCATCCTTATCATTTGCAGCGAGTGCAAACTTTGCTTGGAACTGATTTTCAGCCACGAGTGGATTTGTGTCGGTGGTTTAGAAGGAAAATTACTGCATAGCCTGCTTTTTTCCGTAGGGTGTTGTTTACAAATGTTGATTTTTGAATAATAATAATAACTATTGGTGTACATCCTTCGCAATTTTAAGAACTATAATGTACATTATGTGTAATACTAAATTGTTCATGTTTATTTCTTTATTTTAGATGTTCGATAGTCAGCAATGTTTACTTCTCCATCCATGTATATGCAATTCCAATTCACGCACAGGACCGGCTTCGGATTGTAAATTATTGTAATTTTTGCCCTTAAACACGCTGCTGAACTCATTTATTTATTGCATACAGTTTACACACTCCAAAGCTCTACACTTATTTCTGTTACAATTTTTGTAATAACATACAAATTAATGGACAAACAGATTTAGAAAAGAAAGACAAGTCTAATTGACAGATTAAGTATACGACGAAGTAATTGACGGGAAAACGAACATGCTACATTGTCTGATAAATTAAGCAATAAACTGATTGACAAATGTAGCATTCTGTATTATTCATACTGCATTAAAACCTACAATGTCTTGAGAATCAGAAATAAAACAGTTACACTGCTCGCCGTTATTTATTCGAGAATATTGTTATGCTTCCTTACGTTTAAGAATTACTTGGAAACAAAGCGGGACAAATAGTTCGCAAAATTAACTTAAATTCTTAATATTCTCCGTAGACAAATAAAGACGTCAATTATGTTTACTCGATGCTG